AGGAGACGGAGGGCAAGCTGCAACGTCACTTACACCTGACGTTGGTGGCACAGGTTTCGGTTCCTTGCTGGATTCAATTCTATCTACCCTCTTGAAAAAACAATCCAGTGATGTCTGGGTAGTAGCTCTTTTTTCTCGTCATAGATGACATGGTAGCACTGGACTGCATTCTGAACGGCTGCTGTAACCTTCGTGTACCATTCTTCGTTCAGGTCCTGTGCCTCAAAAACTCACAGTCGGGCTTCCCTGGTGGCGCAGTGCTTGAGAGTCCGCCTGCCGATGCAGGGGACGCGGGTTTGTGCCCCGGTCCGGGAAGATCCCACATGCCGCGGAGCGGCTGGGCCCGTGGGCCATGGCCGCTGGGCCTGCGCGTCCGGAGCCTGTGCTCCGCAAATGGGAGAGGCCATAACGGTGAGAGGCCCGCATAACGCAAGAAAAAAAAAAAAACAAAAAAACTCACAGTGCCTCCTCAAGTAAAGAAAACCCCCTGCCACTTCCTGAGTCGTGAACCTCTTCGGTTCTTCAGTTACTTCTTGTTCCCCTTGTCTCTCTCCGTCCTTTCTCTGGGCCTCCAATTCCATCAGGTCTTCATTAGTAAGCTCCTCATGTTACACAGCAAGGAGTTCAATGAAGTCATCCTCTTGCAGATCTAGCTGGAAATAAAGACACTGCACTACTGTCCTCTATATAGTACAGTAAAGTACACAAAAGCACAACCACTTGTAGAGGATGCACGCACGTGAGAGCATACGCCAGACACTTGAACTAACTTACGTGACTGGACATGCGAACGCATGTTCGCATCTTTGGAAGTTCGAAACTTGAAGGTTTGTATGTGGGGGACTTACTTGTATTCCCATTCTACAGATGAGAAGACTGAGTCACAGAGGTTATATAATTTACCCAAGGTTGTGCATGGGACTAAGAGGCAGGGCTGGCACTACAACCCAGATCTCCCGGCTCCAAGGACCAGGCTCCTAAATACTTTTCTCTAAAATGAGCCAGAGGTGAGTGAGAGAGGCTTGAAGGGGGCTCCAGAAAGAGGTCCTCCCACGGATGCTGACAAATGGACCAGATGTAGACACAGTTCACTAACGAGGCACTAATGAGCATGAGTGGAGCCATTGTCCCCGTTCCTCCGTCAGGTTTGCTCTTACGGTAGATTAGGTAACAAGAAACGCCAGCGTGATGCTGAACTCAGAAAGCTGACCAGGCCGTAAAGGACACGGAGCTGCACCTGTGATGAGCATCGTTAACTGAAAATCAAAATGGGGCCAGGAGTCAGGGCAGCACCCACCTATTCGGTCGTCTGAAGTGGACAGAGAACTATGATGGCAAAAAGGCGTCCAGAATCAGGCCCAATAGCTTCTTTGGGGCTTTACTGCACATATCGCATCAGTTCCTCACTGACAGTTCCCGCAGACAAGCTGATCAAATAAGGGTTACCATCTTCCGTCCTCTGATTTCCCAAATGCACCCCGACTCCCAAGGCTTCCATCACCTTCTTTGCTCCTAAGAAAGTCAGGCCAAGAGGCACAGACCGTAGGGCTGCTCCAGGACCCATTTACAGTGTTTCAGGAGGGCAGTGGAAAGAGCATTGCTCTGAGAGTCCTGCCTCTGCCGTGGGTTGAGACACAACTTTGGATACTTTGTGCCTCTCCATAGGTCTTGGTTTTTCCACCTCTAAACTCAGGGGGATTGGGCTAGTTCAAGGGATGGAAACATGAGGAATCACTGCTGTCACCCCTTCCCATACCCATAGCAGACACAGCTAATCAACTGCAGCATTCTTTCCCATTGAGCCAGGACTTTGCCTCAGAATCTTTCTTAACACAGGGCTCCAAGCAACTACTACCGATAAATCAGAATTGGCCTGCAAGAGGAAACTTGGTTTCCATCCTTGGACACATTGATCTTGAGGTGCCCTCAGCTCTAAAGACATGTCATTCTCCTCTGTACATACCAGAAGGCACTGGAAGACTCTATCCCATGGGCTCCAGCTCTCTGATTTCATTTTCCTAATTTTTTCTGGATTCCTTATGTCTTGACTGGGAACTTGGAGCTGGGTATGGGGATGCCAACACGAAGTGGCATGGGAATTTGAGCTTCTCCAGGCAGGGTGGTGATCGCCAGGGCCAATTTGGAACCAGCAAACCTGTGATACTTTTCCAGTCCAGCCACCCAAATACCAAGTAAATCCAACATCCTTTATAGTACATCATGATTTACATCATGATTTAGACATTAATAACACATTGTAATAGAAAGGAAAGAAATTGGGTCATTTGTAGAGACGTGGATGGATCTAGAGACTGTCATACAGAGTGAAGTAAGTCAGAAAGAGAAAAACAAATACCGTACATTAACGCATGTATGTGGAACCTAGAAAAATGGTACAGACGAACCGGTTTGCAGGGCAGAAGTTGATACACAGATGTAGAGAGCAAACGTATGGACATCAAGGGGGGACAACCGCTGTGGGGTGGGGATGGTGGTGTGCTGAATTGGGCGATTGGGATTGACATGTATACACTGATGTGTATAGAACTGATGACTAATAAGAACCTACAGTATAAAAAAATTAAATTAAAAAAAAACACATTGTAGTTTTAAAGTTGTTCTTAATATCTTTGTTACACAAAGGCTGGATAAATCTTGGGGTTTCCTGTTAAAGTCATCAAAACTGAGCTCTGATCCCTGAAGGACCTTGATTTGAGCAGCTCCTTAAATGCCCTTTAACCAAAAACACAGGTGGCATTAAAAAGAGCAATGCTACAGTGGCCACCCGGGCCCTGAGTGGGAGAATAAGGATAAATAGACAGAGGATTCTCTGCCAGAAGCAGAAGTTTTGTGTTGATTTTAGCCCAAAGAAAGACATCCAGATGGAAAGCAAAACCTTCTATAAATCTTTCAGACATGCTTCTATGCAGTCAAGTATTAGACTTACTTATAAAAGTGAAGACTCTCGAAGAAGTAAAAACACACTAAATAAATCCAAGTTACAGATTTTTAATTTCTGAAGTCGCATTTTCTTAACTTATAAGGGACTCTTATAAACAAAGCAGCACATACACAAGGCTAGCTAGGTTCCACGTGTATTTACTGAACACCCGCTGGGAGGAAGACACCGAGCCAGACTTGTGGGGCAGAGACAGAGGGGGGACGACGTCGTTCTTGCCCTTGGGGAGATTCTGGGACAACAGCAGCGGGGAGAACCAGAGGTAAGATGACCCTCAGTGGAAAGGGATGGAGAGCAGTGGCCCTGAGAGGCCCCAAGGGCCCTGCAGTTCTGTCCTAATGCATCCATGTTGTGAGACGGAGGAAGGCTTCCTGCAGGAGGTGGCATTTGAGAAAGGCCTTGAGAGGAGCAGGAAGGTCTTCAGCTGTGGGGAGACACAGGAGATGCAGAGGCCCAAGGCCGCCCCTAGGCAAGATCCGGGAGGGGTAATTCTGGCTGAAAAGCAGGGGAGAAGTCTGGTTGCAGAGCAGCCCTCCTTCGGAAAGAAGGTGCAGGAAGACAGTCTGGGCTTGAAGGCCCAGCTAGGAGGAGCCGCTGAATTATTATGGAGCCAACGGGGAGCCCACCGGCGGGGCTGAGTAGAGGAATGGCTCCAACAGAACAGAGACTTAGGGATCTGGAAGGTCAATTCTCCACCAGAAATCAGGGGACGCCACAGCCAGACAGGCCCTGACAGTCCATGGAGCCCACGGGCTTACTTTGCAGGAGCAGATAAGAGACCAGAGAGGCTGCCTGGCCGAGACCACACACCAAAGGGTGGTGCCAGGTCTGGAAGCCACAGCTCCATCCTGCAAGCCCGAGACACCTGTTAAGGGACTAAGTCAGAAGACAGGCCTTGCAGAGGACCAAGAATTGCTGAATGCAGCAGATGGCATACTGCAGCCCCAAGGGCTACAAGGGCTACAGCCCCATTGCTAGACGGTGGCAATGAGACAAGCACCTTGGTACCAAGTGTGGAGACCTGGCCTCCCAGTAGGACGTGGCTGGAACCTGACGATCTATCATTTGCTGATGCAGTTGGAATGGTTAACCGCTCTGAACTGCAGGGCTGACCGATCATTTCAGTCATATCTAATGCTGCAAGAGGAAGGTTTTCCTACAATGGGCTTCATAGAGAGCTATATGGCGAATAGCTATATGACTACTGAAAGTTAAATTTATATTAATTAAAATTATGTAACTAGAAATGCTTTCCCCAAGTTGCATGAGTCACATTTCAAGTGGCTCAACGGCCACATGTGGAGAGTGGCTACTGTTTTAGATACTACAGAACTGAACATCTCCATCACTGCAGAAAGTTCTATTGGGCACTGCTGGTTTATAGCAGGGGTCAGCTAACTATGCCCCAGCCTGGGTCCCAAATCCAGCTGCCATGTGCTTTTGTTTTTGTCTTTGGCCAAGCTGACTGACTTGTGGGATCTTAGTTCCCCAACCGGGCCCCAGCAGTGAAAGCGTGGAGTCCTAACCACTGGACCACCAGGGGATTCCCTGCCACGTGTTTTAATAAAGTCTTACTGGAACACAGCCATGCCCATTCACTTATGTATGGTGTAGGTCTGCTTCTGTGCTGCAGTAGCAGAGTTGAGTACTGGTGACGGAGTCTTTACGGCCTGTAAAGCCTAAAATACTTACGATCTGATCCTTTATACGAAAAGTTTGCTGCTCTCTAGTGTAGACTGTCAAAAAGTGACATGAGGACCTTTTCTGGAAAGATGCTCACTGGTAGACCCAGGAATTACTAGTGGGTCCCAAGTGTCAGGATGACTTCACCCCACCACAGGCCCTCCTGGGGAAGGAGGTAGGGAACACAACGCTGGCAGCATCACTACGGAGCTTGATGGGGGTGCAGGATGCCCCTCCCCAAGCAGGCACCCTCTCCAGGGTGACTGACCGACCTTCTCTAGGGTGACCCACCGCAGAGACAGGGGGTGGGACGTGGTGTTTGGGTGGCTGCGAGTCTACCCAGGAAAACCACACACGAGAAGGAGCTCACCGTTTGCTTTCTTTATTTTTCTATTCTTCCCAGGTCAGTGAGGCAGCAACATTAATACAAAGTGAGAAGAACTGTTTTCTTGCATGGCAATTCAATAACCCCTCTCACACGGATGCTCACACATAATTCCAAGAGCTTTTCATCAAACTCAGTCTAATCTGGATGGTCTGGCATCTCACACACCAAATATAACTCCCGGAGTGATGTCGGCCAGCTTAGGAGTGCTTGCTTCCAGGAAAGGAGGACTATATTGAACAGAGAGGGCTGACAGTCAGCCTTCTTCCAGCTCTTTTCAAGTCCTAGCAGGTCAAAGAGGAGAGCCAGGCTAACTGCTCTGGTTCCTCAGGGAGGTGGGCACCTCCTGCTCTCCCCACCCAGGGAGCCCCCAGCGCTACTGCAGCGGGAAGTTGGGGGAGTTCTCTGTGGACCCCACTGCACGCCAGGAGCCCCAAAGCATGTCTGCTGCCCACACTCACTCTTGAATTATTTCAGCCTTTCTCTTCCTTTATGTGCGTGATCCTTTGTTGAAAGGGAAACTAAGCTGATTCAAGAGCATCATCAGTAAGCTGATGCTCACTTAGTAATGTCTCTATTGTCAACAGAGTGCAGGGTTTATCTGCAGCAGCTTGGAATGTCCTGGGGCCAGAGAGGGTAGATTCTCTTAGGATGCCCATGAGCATCTCGAATGGTAACATTTGGGACAGCAGAGCCCTGGGAATGCTGCCATTTTAGCCATGCAAATTGCAAATGCACGGGGAACTCTTGCTGTCACGCAAACAGGAAAAGCACCAGTTTCCCTTCCTGTACGGCCAGAAGGCCCTCAACAGGCAAGCTCCTCTCTCTCTCTCTCAGACTCCCAGGATGACTTGCTGAATCCTCCCACCAGCCTTCCTCTGCTGCCCTGCCCAAGTTATTTGGATAAATGGGAACAAAGAAACTATCCTAAGCCTCCCCTCAGGACCAGCCTTTGCAACGTACACATACTCCCAGGCCTTCTTGAATTACAGAGAAAACAATGAGGAGTGAGTCCTCTATGGAGCTACAACCAGGGTGGTTTAATTTGCAGGGGTCCAGGACATGACTCAAGAGTTGGGAGGTCACCCGCGCTGTCGTCTTTTCCGCCCCCGCAGCTTCAGCCGCCTGGCTGGCAGGCTGACGGGCTGCTTCCCGAACTTCTCCATGATCTCTCTGATCCTGGCCAGGTTGGTTTTGCTGAGTGTGAAGTCGCACTGTGTGGCCCCCATGTCATAGCCGACTATGCAGTTCTTGGTGGACGAGGTGAAACCTTCTGCCTTGGCCGTGACCATGTACTCTCCGGGGTTCAGAAGGCGCCAGTAATCCCCGTCACTGGCTGTGAAAAGAAAGCAGGGGAATTCAGAGCAGCTCTTTTCTAACAGCGATATCACCAGCTCTGTTATTCCAAGACCAGCCTCCTGGCCAGAGAGAGACTCACGGGCAAGCAGTGTGGAATTTGAGCCCCAGCAGATGCAAATTCTTAATGCATTTTGGAAGCCAAGATGTTTTCCTTTTTGGAAACCACCTTAATGGTTTTAACAGGAAGGGGACTGGGGTGTAGGCTCCCCACAGTGTTAATACGCATGAGCAGAGATGGAGAAACAATCGCTAACATTCCTTTCTCTGTGACAATACACACCATTCATTATGAACTTGAATGTCTGAAAGGTATGCCCTCGCCATAGAATGCCATCTTGAAAAGCCATCTGTGCCTGGTTTCCCGGCTTCCTTTAGCACGGCTATAAATATAGAATAGTGGTATAGGGGTGGGGCTCTTCACATCTGAAAAAGAGAAGGAAAGGGCTACAAACGACCTGGGGGGAGGCCCCAAGGTCCACACCTCATTCCATGGTCCTCTATGAAGAAATGGAACTACAGGAGCAGGTACACGTGGACGTTGCAGGCAGAGTCCCCTGCCCCTCCCCCCACCCCAGTTACACCATTGGTCAGGCACCCAACAGGCACCTAACTGGACCCGGGTCCATCGTTAACTCAAAGCTAGATCCTTGTTGCATAAAGTGGGGTTCTAGGCCAAGGCCACTCCTCCCCAGGGGGCCTACACCTGCTGAGATCACTTGGACCCCTGACATTAAAGAGGCTTCGAGACAGAAAAGGAGACATCAACTCCCACGTAGCACATGGAAGGACGAAGCAGGCACCAATCCACTGAAGCCAAGTTCTTATGTAGGTTGTATAATGATCCCCTTTTCTACGTGAGTAATTGGATGCCCAGGGAAGTGTCACGTCCTGCACAAGGTCACACAGCTAGTGATTAGCTGGTCTTCCCGGGCCAGGTTTGTTTTCTCTCTTATGATGATCTGTCCTGCCCGGTCTAAAGAGAAAAGGCTGGATTTGGTGGAGTGCTACATAGGCCCGGGAAACTTTTACTCATTTGAATGAACCCTGATGTCCTCTAAAGAATGGAAGAGAACGCTGTGTGAGAATATTTATCTCCCACATACACGCATATAACACTCTGAAGCACCATGTTTAAATTCACATCACAATCTTTATTCATCTGAGACGCCCCATGCAACGTGGTGAGCTCACGAGAGCACAAGATGTCATGAAAAATGAAATACGCAGGCAGTGGTTCGCCACACGTTTGCACAGTCTACTACCTGGTAAACAGGCCTCAAAGTGAGAGTCCCAGGCACGCAATGCAGGCAGACGGCTCCCCGACTTTCTCAGCACTGCACCCTATGTCTTCCTGCAGTGAAAATGCAAGGTTCTCAACTGAATAAAATGCCACTTGGTGGCTTTTCAGAAGCTGAGAGGCAGGCCCAGCCGTCTTTGTCTTGCTATCAGACGGCCCGAGCCTCCTGCGCAGGCACGCGCTGAGACGTCTCTCCGGGCTCCCAGCTCCCAGGCACGCCTGCCAGAGCCGCCCCTGCACCCTCCAGACCTCCCTGTCCCGTCTTGGCCCCGTGTTAAGCTGTGGGCTCCGTAAGACCTATGGCTTATCCTTCACCACTTAACTGTGTGTTTCAGTCGTGTGTCCTTGATGAATGCCAGCTGGATTCAGTGGGATGAAGACAAACAAACATGAATACAAATGTCCTATTAAGGTGAGAAGTTGTACATATTAAGCCTCAGCCACTGTAGGTACTTTCTCCCCACCAACACCGGAGTGGATTCGTTAAGGCCAAGAACCGGCCACCCGCCAACTAACTTGATAGAGGCCGCTGGAGGCGAGACCTTTCGGTGGGAGTGCCCACCTCGAGAACACACTGAGGTCAGTCTGAAACACCCCCAGGGAAAGGGCACCCCAGGTTCTCACCAAGGGAGATGCTCAGGAAGCCAGGAGTGAAAGAAATCCATAATTAACACGTGCTTGTCAGCTCTACTGATTCAAATTTATAAGACGGCTTTGTAATTCTTTTTCTCCCCCAAATAGCAGAAGGCTCCCTCCTCATCCTCTCTCCAATCTGCCCACCTTTGCTGTGCTGACCTCCTTCTTATTACATCTCGGTGCCCTGTCAGGGGTGTGTTTCGGGGGTGAGTGCTCTGTGGAGATGCAGGGGGATGTTGGCACCCAGCTGGCAGTGCCCAGCATCGATGGACAGAAGGAACAACCCAGGCCCTAACGAATTCATTAACGAATTCATTAGCAGGTCGGGTTAGTGTTCCCAAACAAAGGACAGTCACGTGGCATTCTCAGCCAGGTTTTGGGCCAACATATTTACATGCATTTAGAAAGCATCCTTACTAGCTTCTCTCCCTGTGGAATTCCACTTAATACCCCTGTTTATTTTATGCAAAATCCCTCCTGGAATAAAACTTGTCAGATCACATAAGCCTCAGACAGAAATCAAGGCAAATTCAGAGCTTATGTGGAGCAACGAAGGACCCCGAAACCAACGCAATAAAGAACCATCCATGACACACGGGATTCCTCTGTGATGCGAACGTGCTGGGAGATTATTTTGTGGGGAACGAAGGCAGATGGAGCTGCATTTTCCATTAGCTCATCAAAACTGTCTCCTTGATTACAAGGGCTTTGAAATTCCGAGCTCATTAGGCAAAGCTCTCTGCTGGCTTGTGGGCCCCTGGGGACATTTTATCTCCCACTCTGTTTAAAACTCTTATTTTCTCACATTGCCTACAAAAGACTAACAGTCCAAGGAATGTTTCAGGCTCTTTTACAGGCACTCATTAATAACGTTTAAAATACAAGGCCTATGCAGAACCAGATCAAATAGCCCCTTTCATCCACAGTGATCACCTGCACCTTGCATGTCTGGCCCGTGACAAGTTTACAATCTGCATTTGTTGAATTAATGAATGAATAAGTGAATAAGTGAATGAATGAATGGATCAGTGTATGCCTGCCTATGTGGGGCAACTATGTACCAAATGCCATGCTACCCAGTGTGCAGCCTTGTGGTCAGTGGTTATAAGACCCTGGAGGACAAGTGGATGCTCAGGAAATATGGCTGCGTGAAGAAACAGGCAACTACCTTGAAAGAAGGCGATTCAGGGCATCACACCACAGTCTACTGTTTTGTGGCATTTCACCCATTTACAGAATAATTGTCCTTCTCTGCCAGGCACGTGAGCAGGTAGCCTGGTATTGAAGAACACCTGGGCCAAGTCTGAATCCCAGCCCCCACCCCGTCCTAATGTCCTAGAGCCTCTGCTTCCTCACAGGTCAAATGGGATCACTTGGGGGAGGACAGGGTGTCTTCATGCATGTGACCAGCTAGCGGGGAAAGCGGCCCTTCTCTTGTTCAGGGGGAACAGTGTGGGGCAAGGCAAGGGGGACCACATTGAGAGTCTCAAGCTCTCGGCTCAATCCCAGCTCAGCCTCTCGCTGTGCATCTGGGAAATGCCACATAATGTCCAGTGCGGCTGGCCACCCCGGCACAAGGTAAGCTCTTAGATCCCCGGGCGCAGGTCAGGCCAAGTTAGTGTCAAGTCTTGTTTCTCCCAGTTCAAGTGTGTCTGCAGGCTGAAGAGGTCTCTTTTATGGAGATCATGGTTTCCTTTCTCTTGCTGATGATGACTCTGTTTGCTACACCTGGGCGGGACCTGCCCTGGGTTGAATGATGCCCTGCCCCCCACACCCTCCAATGGCCCACATCCTACTACCCAGGACCTACGAATTGACCCTATTTGGAAAAAGGGTCTTTGCAGATGTAATTAAGGATCTCAAGATCATCCTGGATTATGTGGATGGGTCCTAAATCCAATGACAAGTGTCCTCATAAGAGACAGAAGAGCAGGCGCCAGGAGGAAACGGAGGCAGAGACTGGAGTGATGCAGCCAAGGAAGCTCAGGAATGCCTGAAGCCACCAGGAGCCGGAAAAGCCAAAGGGGGATCCTCCCCAGGGGTTCCAGGGGGAGCACGGCCCTGCTGACACCTTGATTTCAGACTCCCGGCCTCTATAACCGTGAGGGAATAAATTTCTGTTTCTTTAAGCCACGCAGTCTGTGGTCATTTGTCATGGCAACCACTGGAAACCAATGCAGAACCCAGTGCCCTGCTCACTGCAGCTGACAGCAAAGCAGCATCTGACGCAGCGCTCCCCAACATCGCCCCGCCCCCATGTAGGAAAACCTCTGCGTGCAGGTTTAAACATGCCTACGGGCACACCATCTCCAACAGAACGCTCACTGACCATCTGACTTAAGCATCCAATCAATTCTGTTCCACGTGCATCTGTCCCTGCATCATGCTGCAAACATCAGCCATCGGTCAAATTGGCCATTTCTCATTTCCCCCTGAACACGCCAAGTGCCATCCCAGGTGATGAGAGTACTGGGGCACAAGGGTAAGCCTGGGCTTGTTTTCATATCATAATCGGCAAAGAACAAGGCAGCCCTTGTGCAGATGCTCGGTGTCTGCGGGCTGCTTCCCAGCCAGCGCTGGAGCTCTGGAGCAAGCAGGGAAACAGCACGCAGCTGCTCCGACGCCTGAACCCAAGCCCCACCCGCCTCCTGAACCTTCAGTGGGTCCTTGAACCTCTTTGAGCCTCTGGTTTTCACCTGAATAAGGGACAGAGAGAAGCCAGAGAGCAGAGGCTGAACACCTTGCTTTCCAGGGGCTCCATGGAAAGTTGGAGAAAAGAGACAATAAGCCAGGTCGGAGGAAGAAGTCTCTGGGCCTCAATTTGTGGTTTTTTTTTTTTTTTGCGGTACGCGGGCCTCTCACTGTTGTGGCCTCTCCCGTTGCGGAGCACAGGCTCCGGACGCGCAGGCTCAGCGGCCATGGCTCACGGGCCCAGCCACTCCGCGGCACGTGGGATCTTCCCGGACCGGGGCACGAACCCGCGTCCCCTGCATCGGCAGGCGGACTCTCAACCACTGCGCCACCAGGGAAGCCCAACTTGTGGTTTTAATTCAAGTAAAACACTTCCAGAAAATGGATATTTCCTCTTGAGAAACAGTTCACACACATTATTTGTACTTACCTGTTCGGACGTCATGGTTAACGCCCTCTACGGAGATAACAGCATTTGGAATTCCTTTTCCATGCAAATCCCTCACCAGGCCTTTGATGCCCCGATGAACCTGCTCGACAAACAGGAGAAGCAGATGAGCTCACCGATCAACCGGCACAGCGAAGAGGACCAGAAACCTAATGCCAGCCCATTGCCGCCAAGAACCCCCCCACAAAGCTACGTCTGGCTCAAAAGCTCCCCGGCTCTGCATGGATTTGGTGTGTAAATTTCTGTATTCCTTTTGGGTCCATCTACTGGCAAGTCTTCCACTGGAGTTAAAATATTCCAGAGGTTTAGAAAGTATTAGGATCTGAGATGGTTCATAAAAGACACATCCAGTAAAAATGGAATTTAATTTTTATAGGCACATTTATTTTGACTTTCCTGGACTCTACAGACTTAACACATAGACTTTAAGAGTCAAGGAGGGGCCTCCCTGGTGGCGCAGTGGTTGAGAGTCCGCCTGCCGATGCAGGGGACGCGGGTTCGTGCCCCGGTCCGGGAAGATCCCACGTGCCGCGGAG